CTGGCAGCCCTACATTAGCCCTTGAAACACTGGGCAGCTCGTTGCAGACCAGGAGCTGAAGACGGGGAACTGATAGACGGGGAGCAATCTACTGACACTCCCCTTCCTCCCCCCCCACACACACCAAAAAAAATACTAACTTTTAGACGATTCCAAAAATATACATATAAATTTAAGTAAGTCCACAGCAAGCAATTAAGATGTACAGCGTAAGCTTTTTCTTGCTAAAAAAATCCTTAGCAGCATGAAGTTTGACGAGTATATTTAGAAGTCTAAGAAAAGATGCATGCTACGTAGGTAGGTGGGTAGGTGGGTGGGTAGGTGGGTGGGCATCCAGTAGTTCCAGCCACATGAGAGCACACCAAACCCGGGCATACAAGGCGAACCCAACGACAACCCCATCCCTCCCACTAAGATACTCCTCTACACTGGCAAAACAAAGGCGCTCGGTTGCGTTAAACAGCTCCTTTATTACGTCACCAGATGTTTAGCGGCGTAAAACAACAAGAGACAAACCAGCTCCCCTCCCTCGCTCTCCAGGAAGTGGACGACTAGGAGTCTAAAGTCCTTATATCTGCGCATGTGCGAGCCATCGCTCCGAGGCGGGTGAGGTTGCTTCGTCCGCCCGTCGTTTTTTTCGCAGCCGGTGAGTGGCGGGTTGGTGGGCTCTCTCGATCTCTTTCCCCTTTTCTTGCTTGTCCCCCCTCCTCGCTATCTAGCCTAGAGGGACCACTGGGGACTTCTCCTTCTCTGTCCCCGCACTTTAATGTCCCTCTTCCCTGTGAAGTCAGGGAAGCGTGTTGCGTTGTTGCTGTTGTTATTGTTGTTGTTGTCGCTGCTGGGAAACATCGTTCTCCCCACCACCACCCCACCCGGCAGGGCAGCTGCCTGTGGGGTGAGGTGGGGACACCCCTCGGAGGTACGCTGGGAGCAGGTGATTCTTTTCAGTCCGGGCGGACTCGGGTCCCCCGTGTGAGCGGTGGAAGGGTGTGTGCGATCATATCGCAGCTCCGTTTAGGGTACGAGTGGAGCAAACCCATCAGAGGGCTGCAGTGTGACTTTTGGGTTGGGGAATAGCTCAAGAAAGGGCAAAGGAACGCGTGTGGTGCCTAGAGCTTCTAGAAGTCTTCAGTACATGCTGTGAGATGAGGAATATCCACTTCTTTTATATTATTTTGATTTTATTTTCTACCCGGAAAGTAAGAACCATTGATCTCAGCAGAGTCTAATAGTGGGCATTCCAGGACCATAGGAACCTACCCCTATATATATTTTTCCTCCAAAAGAGGCTGCAGCCAAGAAATCAGAAGACTGAGATTTGGAATGGTTGCTGTGAAGAAACTGGGCAAGATCTTTAAGAAATCAGAACTAAGAAATCAGAATGGGAGACTCAGAACGCAGAAAAACATAAATAATCTTTATTCTGGTTTTAAAATGCTCCACATGTTTCAGCACACAGCGTTCTTCCTGAGCAAGATTTTAGATTGAATCAACATTTCATTAGCTCATTTGATCTGTACCAGCTCTGAAAACTACTACCAGGGGAAAAAATATTCATTCTAAATGTGGTGGTGGTGGAGATACTATTTGCGTTGCAAATACTGTGAACTATCAGAAAGACAAATAAGTGGGATCTAGAACAAATTAAACCTGAATTCTGACTAGGAGCAAACATTGTTAAACATAGACTGCTGTCCTTTGGATAGTACATGAGAAGACAAGACAAATTGCTTGAAGACAGCGACACTAAGAAAAGTGAAAGGCAGCAGGAAAAAGCTAAATGTGAGATTGATTCAGTAAAGGAACCCACGACCTTCGGTTTGCAAGACCTGAGCAAGACCTTTAATGATACCTAAGGCCTTTTGGTATTCCAGCAGTTCACCAGAAGTTGGGAGCATTTTAGTGGCACATAATGACTAAAATGAACCTGCCTCATACCAAGTTGAACTATTGGTTCGTCCGGATTTTTAGCAGCAGCTCTGGTGGCAATGACAAGGATTCAAGGAGGATTGTTTGCTGGCCCAACCTCAGAGATCCCTGGAATTTCCTGGAAGTCTCCTATCCAGGAGGGAGAATTTTCCAGAGCTGCATTTTAGCAGCAGACGCTTATCCGTGTATGCGTAAAGCAAACTACTAACTTCAATAGGACCTTTTCTCAAGAAATGGTGAAAAGAATCACAGCTTTGATTTGAACAACTGTCATTCTGCGTCAAGATACTATATCCTGCTAGTATCCCATATATATATAGGATATGACAGTTGGGCCTCAACAAGCGGAAGGTTGTGCAGCGTTCCCACAGTGGATGGACTCTCATATCACAATAAGCCAGAATTCTGGCAGACTCTGAAAGAGGGCACCTGTTGGTTCATTCTCAGTTTATTTCACTGGCTTGTTTAGGGAAGAAACAGAACGGCTTGCCTACATCTCGCGCTTGTCATCAGAAGTGTGGTGCTCCAAGTTCCTGTTGAACTACGACTCTCATATCACAATAAGCCAGAATTCTAGCAGACTCTGAAAGAGGGCACCTATTGTTTCATTCTCAGTTTATTTCGCTGGCTTGTTGAGGGAGAAACAGAATGGCTTGCCTACATCTCGCGCCTGTCATCAGAAGTGTGGTGCTTCAAGTTCCTGTTGAACTATAGTTCCCAGCATTCCTCACAAACGGCTGTGCCGCCTGTGACAGATTGGAGTTGCAATTCAACAACATCTGAAGGGCCACTGTTTGCCCTCTTCTTCAGTATAGCAACCGTGGACGAAAGGCACGTGACTTGTTTTGCTGGTATCCCTTACAATGGGAGTGACTGGTCGGCGTCAGCTAGCATGGCCCTTCATTCAAAGTAAGGTAGAATTCCCAAGGAACTCCTTTGTTCTAAGCCAGGATACATAGGAGGGTGAACTGAAACTTATCAGTACGGTTGTATTATGTGTGCGTGCATGTACACTCAAACACACCACACCTTTATAAACTGCTTGACTTAATGCAGAGCCTACTCTAAGCAGTTTACCCAATGAATAATCAACCGGCATAAACCAAAATACATGCCCCATAATAAACATACATCACATTAAGCCCAAATAGGGATGGCAAGAGGAAACACAGTTTTTAAAATGCTGGTTTCAACTTCTAATGCTCTGAACAGATTCAGATCAAGTTAGTGGCAGCTGCAGCTGCTCTCCCGTACGAAAGCACTTAGGTCATTATCCAAAGCCATTTCCCAGATATTCCACCAATTAAGATAAGAGAGGTAACTACAACACCTTCTCAGTGGGACATCCTGTCTGTGGAATACACTCATGCAAGACACTTGCCTTGCATTACAGTATTGCTTTTTATTTTTCCAGATGTTACAAGAACAGCTGAAGTGTTTCCCCTTTGCATGTTTACTTCCTACAAATTCTGTTTGTATATGCCAAAGTGTTTTGTTCTCTGCTACATCAGTCACTGTTCTGTTGGATCATAGTTGCATTTTCTGTTTTTAAGCAGACTGTACATTACTCAGCTACTCTGGCTAGTAGCTGATTTTGAAATGTAATAAGTGGGGGGAAACCTTGGGGGTGATGTTATGAGTATGGATGTTTAATTTATTTTTAGATGCTGAGGAACGTCCCCTTCCAAATCTTAGCAGGTGTGCTGATCCCCCTTTGCGCCCTTTATATCTCTGGGCTCTACAAAGGTAAATATGTTCTTTTCACTGCCACCAGGTATTATCCTAATACCAATACAAGTCTCACACACACAGGAGCTGCTCATATAACTTATGAGTCAGGGGTTTTGATTAAACATTCTTTTATTAATGAACAAAAATTGTAAGGAGAATCAAATATAACTGTTTCAGGTGTTCAATTATATTAAATCATGTATTCAATCACTGGTGTTTCTCATATTATGTTTATATATTCATTCCTGCTTGTTCAATATGATTCAATCTTTCAAGTTCCTTTCTTAACCCCTTCTTATCTATTCCTAAACCCTAGCACTCTCTCCACATCTTCTTGTCCCTATTTCTCTCTATCCCTATCGGACTCCACCTGTCTCCCTAACTGTCTCTTCCAGCTGTCTGTCATTCTGACTCCACCCCGCCTGCTCTATCCTCTGATTGACATGCAGGAATGACGTCATCTCTTGGGTTCCGTTACAGCAGGTGTCACACCAGGCTTTTCACACAGTGCTCTTCTTGGTCAACTAGATATCTTCTTTGCACCATCCCTGTCTCCAGCAAGCGGGATGGCTGTCCCCACACCAGAAGAGCTGAAGACTGCCCGAGAGAGCTTTCAGGGGAAAAATGCCACCTGTTTCATCTTGGGTGCCTCAGGCGAAACAGGGAAAGAACTGCTGGCTGAGATCTTGCGACAGAAGCTGTTCTCTCGAGTGACACTTATCGGCCGCCGGGCGCTGGATTTGAAAGAACCACTTTACGCCAATGTGGTGGAAAAGCAACAGTCAATATTAAACAATAACATATTCCTTGTCCTGTTTATAGTCAGTGAAACAATTTGATCACCAGAAGAACTCTGTAAGCTAGACTAAAAAAGTTGCTGACTTCCAGTCATCCAGTGACTTTTATAGCTGATTGGGGATCTGAACTCAGATTCTTCCTGTTTTGGGTGATAACTAGATTGTCAAATAATGTGGGAAATGCTCCAGGATTGAGTCGATCAAATTCACATTATTTTCTGTTGTGTACATGACATACAAGTTCATCCCAATCAGCTTGGAGTTTCCTCACCCATCTGTAACTTTTCCTTCACCACTGGGTCTTTTGCTTCTTTGGAATCAAATGCATTCACATTGGTTCAGGCGATGTGATCACTTGAACTGATGTGGAGTGGTTTGTAACCATTTTTAAGCAATTCCAGCTAGCTGCAGCAGCTGGGGAAACCGTCTGCCAGTTGAATCCTCTCCTCCCCACACCTGGGTCTGCTTGTTTCCTTCTTCCCTTCTTTTTAATTTCAATTCCATTCTTTTCCCCCGTCATTTAAAGGATTGCAGTCCTAGTGCTAGCACAGCTAGATAACCAAAGAGAGGGAAGGAAGAAAGGAATCAAGGGAGAGGGAGAGGAGGAAGTTTTCATTCACTGTTGTTTCCAGCTTGTTAGGATTAGCTCTGCTGTACCTGTGCCTCCTGCGCATTTGATTGGCCAGAGCCGAGCTACCTTAACAAGCTGCAAATGAAGATTGAGTGTCAGTTTCCTCCCCTTTTTTATTCCTGTGTGTGTAGCTGAAATGAATTAATGCAGAGAAACCCAAGTTCCCAGGCACAACTTCACAGCAGATCCATTCACATTTTTCCTGCTGTATAGTTGCACCCGTAGTGTGGTTTATATTACACTAATTTTGATTATGTGTCCTGCTCTTACATTTTATTGTCATTTATTCCTATAATTTTATACCCCACCTTTGTACATAAAAAAAATATTCCAAGCAGGTTCTAACTTCAGTGTTTAAATGGTAAGCATCTATCTGTCTTAATAATCCAAATCGTTTCATAACTGTACATCCACTTAAAAAGCAGCAGAAGGCCAGAAGGCTGCTCAAAGAGCTGTGATCATTCAAAACACCTGCTGAAATGAAAAGTTTCTTTTTGCTCTTTCACAACTACTCTCAGAAAGTTGTAGTATTAGGGTGCGAAATTTGGTAATAAGACTGCACAAAGTCAAAGTTAAAAGAATAGAATTGCTGAAAGTAATGCCAAAGAGCTGTGGAATAGAGTTCTGGTCACTTGATAGTTATGACTGATGAGGAATTTCCATGTTCCAACTAAGGATGGAAACTGTCTTTTTTCCCCCTCCATTTTTTTGGCAACTCTTGTAGTATGCTACGAGTCATTGGGGTTGCAGCTCCACTTCTTAGTCCTGCCACCGCCTCTGCTTTGATCCAAATGGGCAATTTAGAAGGGTAATTAATGGAGGATGGAGAAATTGCTGGTTAAATATTCTTAGAAGAGCTGGAAAGGGGGGCCCTACGGATCATTGAGTCCAGTCCCTGTCAGGAAGGGGAAATCGAACTTGCAGCCTCTGGCTCCACAGCCAGATATCTCAACCACTGAGCTATCCAGCTTCAATTTCTGTTCTCCACTTGGATTTTTAATTCTTTTTCCTCTTTGGGCTTTTTCTCGGGGCCGACTTCCTAGTCTCAGGAAATAGTGGACTTTGAGAAACTGGACGAATCTGCTGCTGCCTTCCAAGGCCATGACGTCGGATTCTGCTGTCTAGGAACGACCAGGGCCAAAGCTGGAGCGGTGAGGAGGAGACCACCCGGCCTCATGGGGAAGTAGGGGCATTGGGGGGGAGGACACTGTGAGATACAGAAAGCTGAACTAGATGAGCCCTTGGCCTGATCCAGCAGGGCTCTTCTTATGTTTTTTATGTAAAGTCTCTTGATTTCATCCAGGTCAGAAAGTTGCCAGGCTTTCATAGGAGTGACCAGAACATGATGGTGGGAATGGGATGGCCTGGCCTGGTTAGTGACTGGGGGAGAGGGTGGTTACAAACTGTAGTTCCTGTATTACATGTGCGTACTACACTTTCTTCAAGAACTGAGGATATGTGGAGGTTCCCTCAATTTGGGATTCATCGCAGCACTGTGAGATAATTAGATTGAGAGATAATAACTTTTATGGCTGCCTGAAGACTGAACCCAAGTCTCACCAGTCCAGATCCTTCACGCCTCTGGTGGATGCCTCTTAGTTCAGTTTAATCAGCATGCTTCCCATAAGGAATAAGACTTTGGAGCGGGATGTGTCGATTTTAGGTGTGTTCTGACTCAGCCTTAGGACTAGATAGATAAGATTTTCCACATAAATATGTGGCATGTTCTTCTTTTTCCCAGGATGGATTTGTACGTGTTGACCGGGACTATGTGGAGCATTCCGCAAAGCTAGCCAAAGCAGGTGGCTGCCGCCATTTTGTCCTACAGTCAACTAAGGGGGCAGATAGCTCCAGCAGCTTCTTGTATCTCCGGGTTAAGGTGTGTTTGGCAGATGAGATTATTCAGTCAATGCAAGTCGGTGGATGGGAACAGCGTCTGTGTTACTCCCAAGTACTACCCTTCCAAAGTCAACCCTTAAAGTTAATTTTATGTGCGGATGGTATCAGAAGCTTCCTAGGTCTGTTGTCTTTCAGATTGTTAGCCAAAGGAATAACGCTATCATCATTAATGTTATTCTATAACATTGTAATCATAATATATTGTACAGTGGTGCCTCGCTTAGCGATCACTCCGTTTAGTGACGAAATCGCTTAGCGATGGACTTTCTGCGATCGCAATCACTTTGCGATGTTCCCTATGGGGGATTTTCACTTTGCGACGATCGGTTCCCTGTGTTCCCTATGGGGGATTTTCGCTTTGCGACGATTGGTTCCCTGCGATCATCGCAAAGCGCCCATTTTCGCACAGCTGATTGGCGGTTTCAAAATGGCTGCCGGTAAAAACATGGCCGCCCGCTGTTTTCTGGGATGGATTCTTCGCTTTAGAGGCAGTTGGCCGCCTGGCGCTATGGAGGATTTTCGCTGAACGGTGAGTTTTACGCCCATAGGAACGCATTAATCAGGTTTTAATGCGTTTCTATGGGCTTTTTATTTTCGCATTGCAACGTTTTCGTGCAACAGCGATTTTTTCGGAACGAATTAACGTCACAATGCGAGGCACCACTGTATATCATATATGCTATGTGATGGCCAAAAATTTGTTCCATAAACTATGCATGCATAAGAGTTATGATGTCACTAGCAGGGGAAATTTTTCAGTAATTGAGTTCCTCCTCCTGTGCCATGACTGCCCAGAAAATCTACCATGCCAGTGATGTAATTATTGGCAGAGTGAGGAAATTACTGGCTTAAAGCCTCCAGCTACACAGCAGAGAAAATCCAGATAGGGACCTACAGAGCAGATTGTTATAATTACAAGTCTCCCTCAGATTTGCCACTCCTTATTGTTAGTCAGTTTAACCTAAACTGGCAATATAGCCTCAGTAGATTCAGTCAGAGACTTTGGTATTGAAAAATCTTCACTAGATTTTAGAATAACAAACAAAACATATTTATTTGTTACATACTTTGAGATCTTAACTGGTTAACTTCATTATTTGATTAACTGACTGGCGACATAAACACTGACTCTTAACTGCTGACCCCTTGAGTGTCAAACTCTAACACTGGCATAACAGTAACATTGCTAACTGACTCAGACCCCTGACTTTGACTCAGAATGGAGTAAAAAGGAAGGGAAAGGAATCTGAGGTGGAGAGGGAACAGCTGGCAGCTCCTATGTGATTGACATACAAGCCCAAGGTGCCTCCCATCCAAACCTCCCAAACGCATCATATGCAGTTTGCAAATAATTCCAGCAGTAATCACCCTTCTATAGGTCTAATTCATTTAATAGCATTTTGGCCAATAAGTTACCATTTGTTTATTCTTATCTTGTCTTTGCTCGAAGAAGATTAAAGTGATGCACATAGTTCTCCTATTTTATCCATGCAGACATCCTGGGAGTTAGGAGAGACAGTGAGTAGGTGACTGGCCCAAGGTCTTCGGGGAAGTTTCAGGTTAAGTTGGTTTTTGAAACTGCGTCTGCCCACTCCAGCCCTACTTTGACACTGTAACCATCAATTTGGGGGGAGGGGGGAGTGGAGAGAGGATTGATATTTATGACTGAATATGAAGAGGAATATAGGGATGTGGTGGCTATAGGGACGTGGTGGCGCTGCGGGCTGAACCGCAGAAGCCTGTGCTGCAGGGTCAGAAGACCAAGCAGTCGTAAGATCGAATCCACCTGACGGAGTGAGCGCCCGTCGCTTGTCCCAGCTCCCGCCAACCTAGCGGTTCGAAAGCATGTAAATGCAAGTAGATAAATAGGGACCACCTCTGTGGGAAGGTACCAGCGTTCCGTGTCTAAGTCGCACTGGCCCATGTGACCACAGGAGATTGTCTTCGGACAAAACGCTGGCTCTATGGCTTGGAAACAGGGATGAGCACCGCCCCCTAGAGTCGAACACGACTGGACAAAAATTGTCAAGGGGAACCTTTACCTTTACCTATGAAGACGAATAGTTCCTGTTTAGGAGTACTGCTTGCACTCTCCGGTCTCAAAGGAGTGTGCTTCTATCCTTTCTTGCATAGTTGTGCAGCCATCACAATTAACCCCTGATGAAACTTTGGGCTCATTAGGTCCTCTTGTCCCTCTGTCTCTCATTGCCTGCAATTGCATTCATTTTCATGGGAGGGAGCAGCCTTCAAAGAATTGTGGCCATCACTGATCATGCCTTTGCACTCTGTGACCCATGAAGATTTGTGAATGTAGAATCAAATTAGATGTATGATAAGATGTCTCTCTTTTTTTAAAAAAATGTTCTTGGTTTTCGACTTCTTCGTACATGCATGTGGAAGTGGGAGAGTCTGTGTACTTCATGGATGCTTTCTACTCCTTCCTCACCATCACAGGGGGAAGCTGAGGCCAGAGTCCAAACAGTTGGGTTTGACCGTTACTCCATATTTAGACCAGCGTAAGTATGGAGAAGTGTGCCTGGTAGGGGAACAGTTAGCCCCTCAGTCATTGTTCTATTGCAGTTCGTACATGCATGTGGAAGTGGGAGAGTCTGTGTACTTCATGGATGCTTTCTACTCCTTCCTCACCATCACAGGGGGAAGCTGAGGCCAGAGTCCAAGCAGTTGGGTTTGACCGTTGCTCCATATTTAGACCAGCGTAAGTATGGAGAAGTGTGCCTGGTAGGGGAACAGTTAGCCCCTCAGTCATTGTTCTATTGCACTTGTTCCCAACTTTGAGTTCTTAGATATTCTTGGACAACAACTCCCAGAAACCCTGGCTAGCTCAGCTAATACTGAGTGAGTTACAGGGCCTGGTGTCACCCATAGTGATTCTATGGAGGAATCAAACTCTTTAAAGGTTTCTAGTTTTCCCAATGGTATGTAATCCCCAATATACAGAACAACACTGTCCCTCCATGTCATTCCTTTAGAGAAGTGCTTCCCAACCCTGGATCCCCAGATGTTCATGTAATACAATCCCAGAAATCCTGACCGGCACAGTTAATGTTGAAGATATCTGGGAGTTTTAATCCAAGAACATCTGGGGACCCAAGGTTAAGCATATTCTATGAGTCATCGCTAGTGATTCTTCCTGGCCATTGAGCAATAAGAGTCAGGCAACACAGTATGGATGTGGGTAGGGTTCATGGAAAATAATTCCATTTTTTAAGCATAACAATCACGCCGGTTGGTTTCCAAGATTACATGTAATGCCTGTTCAATACAGTAAACTACTTTTTAGCACATTTAACAAACTTTTTGTATAAGGAAACTGGAGGTGGCTAAAATGGATACTTTTTCACTCTTTGAAAGGGCAGTATTAGAGTCATAGTACTGTGGTGCCCCACTAGACGCTTACCCTGTTAAACGATGAAATCGCTCGACGATGCCTTTTTTGCGATTGCAAAACAATGTTTCCTATGGGGTTTTCCCGTTTAACGACGATTAGGTCCCTGCTTCGTGAACCGATTGTTCACAATATGATGATTTAAAACAGCTGATTGGCAGTTTGCAAAATGGCTCTCCACTGTTTTCCGGACCTATTTCCGCAAGACAGGGATCACAAAATGGCTGCCCTATGGAGGATTTTCGTTGCACGAGCAGGTATTTCTCCCATTGGAACGCATTAACCGTTTTTCAATGCATTCCAATGGGGTTTTTATTTTTGCATGACGACGATTTTGCTGTACAGCGATTTTAACAGAATGCATTATCGTTGTCATGCGGGGCACCACTGTATTATGAATCTAAAAGTCCCTGTCGCCCATCTTCGTTCTGTACTTGCCCCTTTGGAATGTGTGTGTGTGCCAAGTAGAGAAGAAAGACATTCCTCACTCATGTCTTCTCTCACAGGGTACTTCTGTGTGATCGCCGAGAATTTCGGCCTGCTGAGTGGATATCCAGGAAAATCTTAGGAGTGGTAGCACTCGTCTCCCCCACTGCTATGTCGGTCCCCACAGTGACAGTGGCCCGGGCCATGGTGAACAATGTGGTGATGCCGGCAAAAGAAGGGCAGAAGGTGGAGGTGCTGGAAAATGCAGCAATTCATGCCCTTGGGGGTATAAAATAGTTGGCGTGGATGGCGTACTGATGGAGGGTGCTTCGTGAATTGCCATGCCTGATCTCCCCTCTTTTCCCCTTCCCCGAGAAGGCATCTCTCAAGCCATATAGATTTTCCTTCGTTGTTATACAATAGGACCCCCATATCCGTGGGATTGGCATCTACAATTCCATTTATCAGTGGTCTGAAAATACTAAAAGAAAAAGCTTAGAAATACAGTGGTGCCTCGCTTAACGATGTTAATTGGTTCCAGCGAAATCGCTCTAGAGCAAAAACATCATAAAGTGAAAATAAAAAACCCATTGAAACACATTAAAACCAGGTTATTGCGTTCCAGTGGGCTAAAAACTCACAGTCCAGTGAAGATCCTCCATACGGCGGCCATTTTCGGTGCCTGTCTAGCGATGGATACATCCTAGAAAACAGCGCTGGGGGGCATTTTCTTCAGCCGGTGGCCATTTTGGAACCCGACGATCAGCTGTTTGCTGATCGTCGTAATGCGAAAAATCGGTTCCTGAAGCAGGGAACCGATCATTGCACAGCTGATTTTGCCCGTAGGAAGCATCGTTTTGCGATTGCTTTTGCAATCGCAAAAAAGGCATAATTAAGCGAATTTGTCGTTATACGGGGCAATCATAAAGCGAGGCACGACTGTACATATTTCCACAATGTAATTACCAGTACTAGCCAGAAAGACCATGCTATGTAGAGGGTTTTTTAGCATGTTGGGGGAGGTTGGAACCAATCCCCCATGGATACGGGGGTCCTCCTGTATATAGTTTGAGGTGAGGAGCTGATTAGAACATGAGACTGACAATATTAGCAGTCCCCTCCCCCCCCTCCATGGACTTTGCTCTAAAACTGTGGCCTTCATATAAGGCATTTTTTAAAACCCTGCTTTACAGCAATCCTCTGCAGGCTTTTTGTCCATGTGAAGTTGGAGATATTAGGATGTGCCATCCCTATCTGACATTTTCATCATGTCCCTGCTGCTCTGCACAGATGGTGGGGATGCAGTGGGGGATATAAAGCTACCTAATGTACCTGTACTGTCTCTTGCCTCTGATTTGTGAGGAGGAAACCTGCATGGAGCCGGTGATGCTTGAGGTGATCTCACAAATAGTTCATAACTAGTGCACCATTGAGGAAACACATATAAAAGTTTACACCCTCACAGGGGTCTTCACATATAAAGGTTTACACCCGCATAGGGAAAGAATGGTGTTTGCAGTGTACTCCCCAGGGAATTTGCAGTCTTCTAGATCTGAGAATCCCACGGGCTGCGAACATAATCCATATGAGGTGCTCAAGCTTAATATTTGCAATGGAATTTTATAAAGAATAGAAAATGAAATCTTGTGAATGGCTGTATGAGTAATTAGTAGTGTAAGATGGAATATTATTTGAAAATTCAGTGACTGAAATCCTGTTGTGCAGTGGTGTGTCCATAATGGGAATGACATCACTTGTGGCAAGTTACCACTGAGGAGAAATCCCTACTCATTTAAGATGGTTATAAGTGCACTGAATTCATACACCATGTGATGAAGTGTCATATATGCTGAAATCACCAAAGGAATAGTTTAATGGTGACAGTGGGGTGTGGTTTATTGCACTAGCTATGAACTAGCCTGCAGCCAACCAAATCACACTTTATATTGTCCATTTCTAATCTATTTCTTTCCCTTTTGCTTTGTCAGTTACTGTTTCTGGTGTGCAAACAAACAGGCCAAAGTTTATATCATTTTAATAGTTGATATGGTTTTTATATAGTTTTTAGTGTCTGGCTAACAAACCGCTGTTTACAAGCACAAGTGTGGACTCAACAAGCCAGAATTTGATAAACCATCAAATACCAAAGAAAGCAGGCAAAGAAATGCCAAATCTCCCTGAAATGTAGCGTTTAACAGCTAACTGATATTGTGGATTACTCTATGTTTCATGACCTTTTGATTTAATTGTTGAATCAGGGACATTTTTTTTTCTGAAATAATGAAAGAAAGCCTTACTGTTATATGTACTGTTTCAAAAGCTTAAATGTATGTCATTCCTCTTTATAGATATAATTAAAATGATATGAAAAGGGATGTTGCTTATAATAAATTGATTGCACATTAAAATGCTTCAATACAATTTTACTGCCATATTTGTTAAATGTTGTTTCTGTTTTCCTGCCAACTCAGAATACCAGTTAGAAATCTAAAATGCAAGTTAGCGTTTAAAAGCAGAAATATAGTAAATGCAGTAGTTGATTGATCAGATTAATACAGCAAGAAGGAAGAGCTTTTAATTTTTGAGGCTTTTATTCTGCTATGTTTCTGTAATATTGCTCAGTCTTTTTAAGAGTGACGGATTTTATTACATACAGTAGTTCTAAACAACTTACATTTTCTGCTATATATCAATGTATGAATGTATAATTCAAAACCCAGGAGAGCTGCTATTTTTTTATAATTAATCACTGAGCTAGAATGAAAATGATCTTCAGCTAAAAGCTGTGTTGCAATTCCATGCCCCACTGAGTCTAACCCCACTGAATTATGTGGCACTTACCCCTGACATACAGTATTCAGCAGTACTTCACAAGGCATTGATTAGTACAGCCAAAATCTAACTGATGAAAAATCAAGCCTATCAAGCAAATTGCACTTTGGGTTTTCCCCTCCAGTCCGCATGTAACCAGTTGTATCCCCATTTCATAAGCACAAAAACATCAGTTGTATAACAGAGTGCCTACCGGGAGGGAGGGGGGCTCACCTGATCATGCCAATACAGTAATTAAAATTTTGTCCAAAGTGTTTAGCTTTTTCACACCACCCTTTCCTGCTTTTCAGCAGTCTGTATGGTTCCCTTGTAAACTTTCAAGGCAAATTTGTAAACATTTTTTTAAAAAAATATAGGATGGGTGAGCAATATGTAGCCCTCCAGGTGTTTCTGGAACAGTTTCCAGTAGTGTTAGCCAGCATAGCCAATAGTGAGTAATGGTGGGAGCTGTGCTCCAGCAACATCTCAAATACCCACAAATTGCAGTAGGTAGAGGATCTTCCTGTTTTCACAGCTGATCATAAAATGTACGCTACCTTTGCCTGTGTGACTTTATTTTTCTCTGATAATTATTTCATTTATGCTGAATTCCCTGTTGCAGGATGTTTTATCAGTCATCTGCTGTTTGTGCAGTCAGTGGATGAAATCCTGTTATTTACTGTAGTAAGTCAAACTAGAGTAGGCCCATTGAATCAATGGAAATTTGGTTAGGCAGCTCTTCTGTAAGTTCTATTGATTCAGCAGGCCTGATATAGTTGTAACTAAACAGCAGGATTTCAGCCAATCCTTCCCACACATTTCATTTTGCCTAGATATAAACAGAAATTGCAGAGAACCTTTGCCCAATTCCATAATGCATTATCATTGGCTATGCTGTATGAGGCTGATGACAGTTGTGAGCCAAAATAGTTGGCAGGCAAAAAAATTCCCCAACCTTGATAATAGGTCTAATAAAGATTTGGATTAATTATCCCAATAAAACAGATCTGTGATCTCCCCACATGTCTGTCTTCTGGATCTTAAACTATTGGAGAGGAGGACAGCCATATAGCCCACCTGTCACTGAAAGAGGAATTAAATGTACATGTAAATAATTGAGATATTCAGAAGTCATCTCTCAAACAGGCCTATTTTCCTGCTCATCAGATGTTTCATGGCTTCCTTCACATCTTTGTTTCTCAAGCTATAGATCAATGGGTTAAGCATAGGAATCACAAGAGTGTAAAACATAGAGATGAGCTTGTCTTGATCCTGGGACCCATCCTTGGTCCTCGGCTGGGCATACATGAAGATGGCAGTGCCATAAAAGAGGCTAAGTGTAGTTAGGTGGGAGGTGCAAGTGGAAAGAGCCTTCCGCCGCCCTTGGCTGGCATGGCCCCTGAGGACATTCCATAGAACCCGTGTATAGGAGAGGAAGATGATTACTGTGGTCACCACAGCAATGACACTGGTGGAAACAAACAGGATGGTTTCAGAAAGCCAGGTGTCTGAGCATGAGAGTGTCAAGACTGCAGGGATGTCACAAAAGAAGTGGTTGATCCGATTGGGCCCACAATAGGATAGTCGGAAAGCACCAGTCGTCTGGATGATAGAGCCCACCAGGCCACAGCAGTAAGCCCCCAGCACAAGGCAGGTGCAACGGCCTCGGGTCATAGACAAAACATAGGTCAGTGGGTGGCAAATAGCCAGGAAGCGATCGTATGCCATGGCCGCCAGGAGGAAGCACTCAGCAGTTACCAGTGTGGTGAAACAGAACATTTGAGTGGCGCATGCTGGCAGGGAAATGGGAGCCCTGCCTGATTTTAGCTGAACCTCCAGCGCCTTGGGTGCAATCACTGAAGTGTAACAAAGATCCAAGAGGGACAGGTTACTGAGGAAAAAATACATAGGGGTGTGCAGACGCTGTTCAGCTCTGATCAAAGTGACCATCCAACCATTGCCTAAGACTGTGAACACATACAGGAGAAAGAAGATGGCTGAGAAGAGGGAGCCCAGTTTAGGCTCCTTTGTAAAGCCTAGCAGAATGAACACTCTCACGCTGGTAACGTTCTCTATGGAGTCCAAGGGGAACAAAAGGGATCTGTGGATTAAAGTAGGAAAATGATGCATTACATGTTCAGAATTATGTGCCAGGAAAGCAAAAAATACAGAGAAACCCCAATGCTTTTCCAGGAGAGGAGAGGAGAAAGTAGCAACAATGTTCACTTGTGTATTAGAATGTACAGTATTTAAATGCAGGCATACATGGAACTGTCAACCGATAAAGGAGTTTACCCAGGCACATAAGCCAAGCAAACAAAAAAATAAGCCAGAAACCTCATCTTCTACCCCTACTCTATGAATGAACTACAAGCAAAAAACATTAGCATATGGCTCAGCAAAAGCATCTTTATGGCTGGCCTTCAGCAATATGTGTAACACAGAACATCAGCTATTATTCCTAACAGGTCTACTTCCATATAAGAGTCCATCATGAATGTTCTGTGTAAATCTCTCACATATGCAGGTGTGCCTATGAGGAATGGTCACGGATTTTGGCCTGTATCAGGTATAGAGAATTTCCATTCCCCCACACCCACCCATCAATATTTTCTTGGAGAGAGAAAAAAATAATAATTGGAGGATAAGATAATTAAGGTGACTTGGGTCAGTCTCAAAACTGAATGGACCAAATCTTGTATTCATACCCCATACTCAATTCCCTCTCCCATTACATACACTGTAGCAATGTTATGATCATCCTATGGAGAAACAGTATTGTCCTCCATGGGAAGACTGGTTGGCCTCTGTATTGAACAGTGAAAGGGGAACTCCCTTTCTCATAGTAATTTGTAGACAATTATAATCTACCCATGCCATTAAGTATGTAAAAATTATACAGTATTTCATAATGATGCTATAAAAAGTTTTACCAAAGTCATTTATCACTTTTTCCTTTGATTCCTTACGTGCCTTTAAAGGTGAAGACCAAGACTGTAAATTGTGCATGTTGAGATTCCTCATGGGACACTCCTCATTTGGTCCAATATAAACATTTAAGTCTCCCATCAAAATTATGGCTGCTCCATGATTACTAAGTTCGAGCTGTTCAATACATTTATCCAATTCTCCCCATGTATTACCATGGTTATATTTAGAGCTCTCCAGCTATTTATCAAAGAAATACTAGTATCGGTGACCAAAGCATGTATAAATAAATTGAAAATTGGGGCTAGCTGCATTAACCTCAACGTAATTGATGTTACATTAGGTTGAAACATATATGATCAGATCTTCACTTGGTGTGCAATTTACAACAAAAGGCTGGTTGTAAGGGTTAAATCTTAAAATATTTGCCAGATTTTAACATGGTACCATTTTCACCAAGTGTTATCGCTCTAGCTATAAGCCCTGGTAAATGCCAGAACAGACCACATCATGCAGATTTTAGCTCACCTCTCCATGATGCCACAGTATGGAAGAATCCTCAAAAATTTGTTGCGGTATTCACATGCAAGCTGCAAAACAAAACTCATGAAGCCACTGATTACAAGGCACACAATCAACAAGTAGTTACCTGAGTTTAAAAAAAAACAATAAACTTGTACTGCCCACATTTCAAACCATTGGATTCATTAGGTTGCCCCACCCTTTAATCTAGCTATGTGCATCTTTCATATTACATTTGATGCTTATTAACACCTCAGTCAGAGTCTGTAACAGAATAACTTCTGTCTAAAAGCTCACAATCCCAGAGAGAGCACTTGAGCACAGTACTGCCACATTTTAGACACTCCCTACAAGCCACATAGAAATTCCAGAAGAGAAAGATAACAGGGAAAAATGGCTTCTAGATAAAATCAATCTTGAATTATTTCTATACATTAACATGAGTAAACTGGTGTCGTACTTTGGACATATGAGAATACAAGACTGAGTTGAAGAGACATTAATACTAGAAAAAGTGGAAGGTAGTAGGAAAAGATGAAGAATGAAGATAAGATGGTCTCTTTAAAGCAAGTCATACTCTTAAAACCCTGAGCAGGGTCATTAATGAAAAGACTTTGTGGAAGTGATTAATTCATAGAGTCACTATACATCAAAAGCAACTTGATGGTACATAATGAATATTTCAAAGACTAACAGCATGATGCTTGAGAAGGCAATCACTGGGACGTACTCCCAATTAAGAATGCTCAGAATTGCAGCCAGTACCTAATGTAGTGCTTATAAATTGCTCTCAGAAGTGATGCTTATATTAGTGTTTTTCTTTCCTACATCTGGACTTCTAATGTAAATCTTGCTTTGCATAGGATATGTACATTTCCAATTCACTGTGTGTTGTATTAACCATATTCTATTTGCATCATCTCAAAACAGGGCACTAGAGAGAAGCTTAGCAGCATACACACACAAAAAAAAATAACAGAACAATTGCCAAAAGTGTGCTTCCCTGCTTAGAATCCACTATCTCCATTCATTTGGTCCTTCAAAACACTACTTTACTCAGAAGCCTTACCTTCTCTTCACTCTCAGAAGTGACAAGTCAACTATTGAGCAGGTGCTGTATAGCTAGAGCAGGTCTGACCATCTCATGCTACAAATCCATTCCTCCTTTGTAAAGTACACAAACCTCCAGCATGCACCTTTGCCAAAGAGCATTCTTAATCAAGGTGTACCCTCCTGCTTTTGTGTGATCTTGATTTAAAGTGGAAAGATCAAGGGCAAGGGATGGAGATATTGCACAAATGCCCTGGGGAGGGGAGACACATGTGCACACAGACAGACACAGAAAGCTCAGAGGTGCACAGAAAGCTGTGATCGAAAATGGAAGAGGTAGTAACAATTCCGAGCAGCCCAAGGACTTAGAAATGAGAACTGGAAAGCAAACAGTTGCCAAGTGTTCTTGGAAAAGAGACATGTGCTGCGTATGGGTGGTTAAAGGATAGCATACATAGGGTCAAGAGGTCCAACTCCAGACCAAGTGAATTTTTCCTGGTCTGTCAGCAGCCCTATTTAAGGTAATCATGGAGTAGCAACATTTCTTAATCCTCTGAGCAGGAAGTACAAGTACTGGTGTACTCTGTGCAAGCTCTTTTGAACAAAAGGTAGTAGAAGCTGGTTCAAAATGTGTTTGTTGACTAAGACTGTTTTTGTTTGCCCAAAGGTGAACAGCACATGTGTGAGGGTTCAAGTCCTGGCTCCACTTTTTCTTTGAATAAATTGACATACTTCCTTGGTTTGGAAACAGGACTCACATTTATTGGATTATTTAACAAACAGCCTATTATCTACAAACGTATTCCAACCATTGTCTCCCTCTAACAACGGGTTAGGAGGGGGCTTCCAGTCTTCAACTTTGAACGGATTAGTCTCCTGGGTATTCCAGGGGCCTGGCCAGTCCAGTGTACAGTCTGTGTTTAATAATTGTCCATCCTCCCCTTCCAATAAGGGTACTGTATCTTCGTCCCGGCCATCTGTCCAGATCGGGTCTCGGGAGGAGGCATTCTCCAGCCAAAGTCTCCTGAGGTACCTCCCTGCTGCTGCAGCATCATCAGCCATTCCAATCTCTCTCTCTCCTTTCCCTCTCACCCTTCTCTTTTTCTTTCCTCAACTTCTATCTCCACTCCTTTGTCTCACGCTCAACCCAATAAGAGGGTTTAGGTGTAAGCTCACTTCTTCTCTGGGTATCTGCCTCTTCCCTTGGGACCCTCAGCTTCTCCACCTTCCCAGTCCACGGGTCCTCTAACCATATCCACTCCCAACCATGAGGCAAGCTGTCCTTCCCGCCTCTACTTCTACCTGGGGCTGTCATTCTTTTCCCGCCAAAATATGCCTGCCTTCTCCAACAAACATTCCTCACAATTCCTCCTCCACATCCCCCAGGCTTTGTTCAGGTGGTCTAATTTTCCTGGGAGGGGTAATAGGTGGTGTTTGTACCTCCTTGTCGGCAAGATGGGCCTTGCCCTCACCAACAGCCTCACAACATGAAGTAGGAATTCCTGTTCCACCTTCCTCCTGTTGTTCTTTTCTTTCTTGTTGGGTTATTTGTTTAGAATTTATACTCACCTGAGAAGTATGCTTTGCTCAGGGTGGCTTGCAACGATTAAAGACATTCCATGAAAGAGACCGAACAGTAAGGTAAGGCTAGTTATCTCTGAAAAAGAATGCAAAATGGAGATGCATTTGATTAATATTTGCATATGTTTATTTATGTAGACAGATGCAGAATTAGACACAATGGCTGCAATTGATATGGAAATACACCACTGGTTGGGAAGACACTGAGAAGAGCTTGAACACTTGACTTTTAGTTTGCTGCCTCCTGTAGCTGCCTCATATTGGTAGGGCTGGTCCTCACATGTCTTAATTCCATTACTTAATTCCATTACAAAAACAGGACCAGGCTTATCAGACAAAATATTCCCAAAAGTAATAGTGTCTCACACAAAATATTTAAAAAGACTTCCTCTCAAAACCCCTATAAGGCACAGGAGGATTTTTTGGGCCAAAACTTTTAGGTTACATGGATCTCTCAGGGTAGGGTTCTTTGGAAAGTTTTGGGAAACTACCTCTGTGGTTCCACTTTTATAGATATTTTCCCAAAACACACAAACGAAACTGTTCAATGGAACTTCCTGCCATCAGAGCCCTGAGTTTGTTAATATGGATTCTGAGCATGAGGAGGGGCGCAAAGATAAAATATAAAGGGGGTGAACTACTCTTGGGAACTGTTCCCTTTGAGTAGCTACAAGTAAGTCACCTAGATATGTAAAGATACACATTAAACTTACTTTTCTGCTTAGTATTCCTATAGCAATAGATATGTCTGGCCAGGTTAATGGTTGTGAGGTAGAAAAGCTTCCCTATAGCTGTTTTGTACTTACAGGGTTTTGGTAAAGCTTCACTTTCCTCCTTATTTTTCAGAAAATCTGTTTGCATGGGTTTTGTAACACTGTGAGCATCTTAGAGGCCTAATGTCTCCAGAAGATGACTGCTTGGCCCAGTAATTTTTAAAAAAGGTTTATATTGCTTCACTTAGACTATGACTGACTCTTATTCCCAGTCCTCT